GAGGAACATCATGCAGAAGGTGGAGAAACTTCATCACAAGAAGAATCTCAATCCACAGGAGAGGAACATTATGCCCAAGGTGGCCAACATCTCTGAAAAACGATTATTACGATAAATTGCCACAAAGGTCACGCAAGACCCCAACTATCTCCTTTACTTTAAACATTATTAGTGGAGTCTCTTTATAGAATAAACAATTACCACTTAAATATTGAACAGTTCTAGTTTTTTTTTATCTCTATGAACTACAACATATGTATAAGCAGCACTCAAACACATCCTGTCAGTCAAAACAAATATACATACAATACATCATCATTCATTATTTGCATGTCAAGTACAAAAAGACTGAAAAAAGAAGACAGGTGAGAGGAGACTAGTCGCAATCTATGCAACTAACTGTGGTCTGAGTCTGTGTTCATTTAGGGGTTTCCCTTTTTTGCAAACCACAAAAGAAATGACATTTAACACACCAAAATGTTCATGATTCTGTAATTGTTGTTCTCTTGACATTTGCGTTTCTTGATCCCAAGATAACATCAACTAAATGTGATAGTGTGAAAATATGTGGCTGTTGGTGAGGAACTAATAACCTGGCGTAATAGTGAGAATTTAAAAAAGCACCTAGATTACGCCCTCACTTCTCACTGTCTTATGCTGTATATAGAAAGGGGAAGTGAAACTGACAAATGTAGAACATGTGAATCAATGTTTGCTCAATAACGTTTTGCCTGTTTCAGTTTAATTGAAGAAAATAATTCTTAGAACAATTTCTTGTATTGTTTAAAAGCAATAAATATATAAATAAGTTAATGTTGTTATTGTTATTATTATGATTTTACGAATTCAACAGTATCACACACACATATTAAAAATAATAAAATGTTAAGTTGCAGACTAGCCTATACATACTTTGTCGATTCTTCGCAAGTTAATCAAATACCTTTATCTTCTTATAAAGAACTATAATTTAAATAGATTAAAATAGTTTTGGATGTTTCATTAGGCTATAGTTTCTTTAGATCATGTATTGACTTATGGGTGCTGTGTTTTCTAGGAAATAAAAGTGGAACTTAATGTTCCCATATGACATCGGTTCTCATATGATGTGTAAAACACTTGATTCTAATGGAAACTTTTATTTTTAAACGCGTTAAGAAGGAAAAACAAGTACTGTAGTATCAACAGCATTCTTTTACAATTTACATATGCAGCTTATGACTAAAGACAAATATTGTTTTAGAAATAAGATGAATAAGTATCGCTTTTTTATTTCTCCTCTTTCCTACTACTTGTTTCTGTTTCAGTTTTTATAACCATTTCTTACTATGTGTAAGTAAGTTATTGGTTTTTAGCATGTGT